TCCCGCCCTTGCCGCGACCAGACATGGCTGCAACCGAAGTGAGCGTTGCACCCTCACGCAGTTCCTTAAATAGCATTTCTGCGGACCTGATTGAGAACAAGAGGCACTGACGCGTTCCCCCCATGAGGTCAGCAAGGGGGTGGGGCAAAGAGAGCTCATTAACATTCCAACGTTGTGATTGGCTAGTGAATCTCGCCCTTCGTCGGCAGTAGGGCGGCCCGGGGGGGGAGGGTCAGCTCTCCTTCCGCCAAAAAGCTTCCGTTTCTCTTTTGTTCTGCGTTTCTTTTTTCGGCGCGCGTTTGCCAGTGGAATGTGTTATGTCAAAACCGCTGAATAGAGGGACCGCCCCCTCCACGTTTGTCTGTATTTTCACTTAATAACTAATAAATTATGGAATGATTTTTTTGGGGGAATGTAGAGGCGGTATGTGAAGGACGGTGCGTTTATAGGTCAAAGGACTTTCCCTTCCATTCCTTTTAATATTCCTATTAAACTGACGTATTTAGATGACCTTCTTTGTGCTGGACAGTGTAAGCCCTGGACCTATGGAAACAAAAAGAAATTTGCAAGTTAAAACTTCTTGTTTTCTTTCAAACATTTATTGGGTGACTCTTGTTTCGACAAAAGTCTGTGACAGGGAATGTACAACTAGGCTTGGAGAACGCGTTGCCCTTGGACCTTCTTCCTGGCCCTGCTGGGCCTCTCGGTTCTGCCTGTAATTCCTGACAAGCTCCCTTTCCTCCTCAGCTGATCCCTTTTCAACCTTCTCCAGGTTTAGAGACAAGAACAAACATTTGGTGTAGCTGGGGGTTAATCGCAGGGCAGGGCTAATACTCGATTAAGGTCATTACAAAGCCTACAAGGCCCTCCCCTGGAGGGCCTTTGATGAGATTATTGGTGTTTTAAACAAGGCTAATCCCATTAAGAAAAAGAAAAAAAAAAAAAAACAGAATTGGACCTGAATGTGGTTGGAAGAGAGAGCCTTTCAAATCAAAAATTTCCCTTAGCCTCCTGCTGCCGCTTTTGAAAATGTCCAAGATCAGTTATTCCAGTTAAAAGGTGGGGAGGGCACACCCTCTCTCCATCCTGGTTAACAAAAAGGTGCCTATTGCAGATACTTAAAATGAGACTCTGGCCTGAGAGAGACCACCTGTTAGAACCTCATACTTGTTTTAGCAAAGAAAAGAGACCCAGCAGAGGGTAGGAAAGCTCTGAATGGCCTATGATTTGTAACACTTGCGAAATAATTAAGTAATTACATTCTTCTGCCCCCATATTGAGCGTTTTGGGGTTCCTGACTTTTACTAACCCCTCCCCACCTCGAACACATACTTTATAAGGGGTCACTTAGCTAGGAAGGAATGTCAAACACTGTAGAGAAAAAGTGCAAGGTCTGAGATTATAAGTAAAACTGAAATCTCAATATGCTCTTTAATTCATGGAAATAAATAAAAATAGTGTATATAATATGGTAATTTCATGGAAAAAATACATGGTGTGAGCCACCCTTGCTACACAGCCCAGCGGGTTCCATCTGCATTTATATATTTTTGTTTGTTTGTTTGTTTTAAGTAGGCTACAAACACAGCATGGAGCCCAAGGCA